TAAGCAGACAGGGCTCCATCTGCCTACTCAACCAGCAACATACTCATCCTTGATCTCAAATAACATATTCAGATAAGGAATAAGTCACCTTGGTTTCATCTACATGGGTACCAATAAAGTGAGGCAAAGCAAATTAGGAATGTACAACAAAAGATATAGCATGAAAATTACATAAAATATATGTTGTTTTGGTTTTATAATGCTGTATAGTCCTAGTACAAAATAAATCAGAGCATTGTATATGAAGTGGCTGTAAAGTCATCCAGTGGGTTAAAGGAATATACATGGCAAATAACTTCCTAAAAATGACATCATTTCTAGCAGTTAATAGTCATTGTCATTTTCTTTCTGTATTAAAGTATATTTTTTAAGGAGCAGACAGTCCAGTTAAACAACATGTTAACATTAGTATCTGTATTTAGATTAGCTAAAAGTAGACTTATTGGACAATGTCAGGAATTGCTTATCATAATCAAGAGCATTTTTGCGAGGCAGGATCATTGTGGTTAGCCACTGAGCATTAATTGTCAAAGCTTGAGTTACATCTTGTCCAGCACTGCACAGTCTGCCAGCCAAGCTCTCAAGGTCAATTATCCAAACCAGTTAGTTCCAGCTCCATCAAGCAAAGTATCATATCAAGCTCTTTTCCTGATTACCTTGTTTTAAAATAGAGAAAGTCAAATTAAAGTGTAGTAGATGTTTCTGATAATTTTAAGTGACATTTACACAAGATCTTGGAACTCTAACTATTTGGGGAAGCTGTACTTTGTTTTTTATATTAGACAAAACGATAATGTATTCCACCCACATTGTACAATTGTGGATGTCTGTAGCATTAGTATATAAAATAATCTGTGGTTTGTCTATAGTAATGTTCCCATTAGTATTTTAAAGATAGGATTACCAGAGTAAAAGATGGCTAAGGAACATAAATAAGGATGGTGCTGTGCAGGAAGAGGAGGCCATAAAGAGGAAACATTGCAGCATGACAAGGTGAGATTTGACATAATGTCCAGTGTGAAAGACAACCTTCCCTGTGCCAAGGCACACAAAGGTGAGGGTCCCTTTCACACAAGAGTAGTTGGTGGAAGAGTCCAAGTAGCAAAAACATATTTCTTATTACTATTGTGTATGAATTTATCTTATATCCTCATCTTAGTATCATAGTTCCAAGCAAATGAGATACCTATACTGTTGGAGTTAAAGGCATCCTGTGAGTCCTGGTGTGTACCACAGTCCAGGAGAAAAGATTCCTGCAACATATATCTGTGCACATATGGTCATAATTAGGCTTTGTTAGAACTAGACTCAAGTATATACTAATAATACACAGAACAGGGTTTTCTGCCTAAATAGGTTAAAGCTAGGAATATCTCATGTGTAGGACTTCAGTCTTGTGGAGCTATTGCTATTAACCCAATAGCACGCAGTACAGCCACTGATATTGTAATCAAAAGACCAGTAAAATCAAACATATCACTTAACTTGTTTAAACAGGAATTTGAGATATTCTATCAGCTTACAGGTATAGTGATCTCTGTAGGAGCCTCCTTTGTGGTGGACTCAACAAGGGGTCTCCAGGCATTAAGGAGGGTATGATGTATCCAGAGGCCTTATCCTGCTACATGGATTGCTAAAGTGTTTGACATGATTACTGGGTAAGGACCCTCCCAGTTGGGAGTATGTAGCTCCTATTTGGATCTATAGTTTTTACTAGGACAAGATTCCCTGGACAGAAGAGAGGGGGCCCTTGATGATCTTCCTCAGGAAGTTCTTGTCAGATTTCTGTAAGAATCTGTTAAAACTTGACCAACTGAGTAACATGGGATACTAATTGAGTAGTCTCGAAATCTAAAAGTAAATCATTAGACAAAAAATGGCCTTCCATATAGGGACTCAAATGGAGTTAGTCCCTGTCAGCCAGGAGTACTTCTAAGCCTTATCAGAACCAATGGCAGAAGTTTAACCCATGGGATTTTAGTCTCCTAAAGCAATTTTCTTAAGTGTCTCTTAAGAAGCCCATTGTTTTTGTTTTTTGTTTTTTCTACTTTGCCTGAAGATTGGGGTCTCTGTGAACAATGAAGATGAAATGTAATTCTTAATGCTTGAGAGAGTTTTTGTGTTGTTTCTGCCTTAAAAGCAAGTCCAGGGCTGGAGTTGTAGCTGAGTGGTAGAGTGCTTGCCTAGCATATGTGAGGCACTGGGTTGGATTCTTAGCATCACATAAATAAAGGTCCATCAACAACTAAAACAATATTTTTTAAAAAGGCAAGTTCAGGGCTGGGGATGTGGCTCAAGTGGTAGCACGCTTACCCAGCATGCGTGCGGCCCGGGTTCGATCCTCAGCACCACATACAAACAAAGATGTTGTGTCTGCCGAAAACTAAAGAAATAAATATTGAAATTCTCTCTCCCTCTCTCTCTCTTTCTTAAAAAAAACATTTAAAAAAATTTAAAAAGGCAAGTTCATTATCACTTTGAAGACTCTGAGGGAGACCAAATCCAGGAATGGTCTCCTAAAGTAGAACTTTTACAACTTTAATAGCCTTTTCAGATCTACAAGGAAAGGACTCCACCCATCCAGTGAATATATCCATCAAAACTACTAAATATTTTGAATTTTATTCCCCACTAACTGCCAGTCCACTCCCAGATAACAACCTGTTCTTTGTTGTCCGGGAGGACAGAGACATTTATTGGAGGGATTAACCTGTTAGCAGATTTCACAGCTTTAGATGATCTGATGGACTATGCCCTTCAAGTTTTTTCCTGAAAACATTTTTTTTTTTTTATTAGAGTAAAAGTATTATCTTTTCCCAAATGTTAGAGATGGTGGAGAGATTTTAAAATCTTTCATTGGTATGCTTGGGAATAGGATGCCCTCAGGAGAAACCCACCGTCCTCTATGATCTAGTTAGTATCTTTGAGTAACAGCCTGTTGAGCTTCTTCCATTGAGTACCAGGGGTGTTCAGAGGATAGAAAATAATTTTCCTATAGGAGTGGGGTAACTATGGAACCCTGTAAAGCAGTTTTCTTGGCTGTAACATCTGCAGCCTTATTTCCTTAAGCTATTATGTCCTGTCCCTTCTGATGTCCAGTAACATGGATAACTGCTACCTGAGAGGCAAAGAATCTTCTTGGCACGCTTAATAGGAATGCCTGTAGTAGTAAGCAATCCTTGCTCTTTCCAGATAGCTGTGTGAGCATAAAATATAAGAAAGGCATATTTAGAATGTGTGTGTGTGTGTGTGTGTGTGTGTGTGTGTGTAATGATGACGCTCTTATCTTTAGAAGGCTCTTGGGCAACTAATTCTGTTAGCTAAGTGCTAATACTACAAAAAGTGGCCCTGATTCAAGAACCTCAAAATCTGTCACTACTGCATATCCAGATCTCCAAATCCCATTAATTACCAAGGAACTACAACAGTGTATAGCACGAGATTGGGATAATTTATAGGATGATCAGATAAATCTGGTCTGGCAGCATAAGTTTCCATGAAAACTTCCTTGTTCATAGAAAGGCCCTGAGTTGTTTTACTGTCTGAGGAAGGGGATATGAGAGTTTGGGTTGAATTCTTTCTGTGCCACGCTTTTCACCTCCCAGTGTCATGCCAAAGTAAATAACCTGGAGAAGGCACAATTGAGCCTTCTCTCAAGAGATTTTATATCTCTTATATGTCCAGGAAATTGAGAGTCGGTGCTCTCAGAAATTATTTTTTCTTAAGCTCCACATTAAAGAAAGTCATGTTCCTACCTAAGTAACACTGTTTTAGGGTATGACCAGTCCATGAGGTCTTGTGCCAGTGCTTGTCCAAACAGATGGGGACTGTCTCTAAAGCTCTGGGGAAGGACTGTCGAGGTAACTTGTTGGGCCTTACAAGTAGGAGCCTCCAAGGCAAATAGAGGTTGGCTTTTTGGACAAAAAGGAATGCAGAAAAATGCATGTATCCTTCAAATCTAGGACAGTATTATAAGTAATTCTCTTGGGGAGTAAATGGGTTTGGAACAACTGGTGCAAAGGGACTACAGCTTCACTGATTATACAAAGGTCCTGAACTAATCTCCATTTTTGGGGGGCCAAACATGACTTAGAGTTGCCACAACAGTGGGGACTTGTCAGTCAAAATTGAAGAAGTGGACTGAATGGGACTCTCTGGAAACTTCTCTGGGAAAAACTGGAGTGCAGGAGAGGAACACTGTCCCTCTCCTGAGAGGAACCACTCTTTCCCTTGAGAGTATCCCCTTTCCCTTCAATAAACTCATTCTTGTTACTCTGAGCAGCATGTCTGAAATCTTTCTGATTTGATTTCAGGAATGGGGGTTTGAAGACTGGGCCTTCAGAGTGCCTCAGTTTCTTGGAAGGCCCCAGCTCCACAACAAGAGGATAGAAGAACATGTTAAATGACACCAAGGGGCGCTCTTTACCGAATCTAAAATATTCTAAAGGAATAAATTTGCTCTACTTTTTTTTTTTAATTCTACAGACATACAATTATCTGATATTGTATTATGTAATTGCTTTCTTTCCCCAACTAGAATATAAACTCTGAGGTGGAACTTTTATTTCTCTATCAGGTAAGTTCCCCCAAAATAGTTGACTACACTTAACAATATCCTTTATACCTCAAAACTCTTTAAACAGCATTGCTATCCTCCCTCTACAGAAAGCTATGGTCTGCAGAGATTAATTAGGCCTTGGGAATAAATGGAGAGAAAATTAGTCTGGGCTTGACTGATTTCTGAACCACGTGAATCAAAGCAAAGTTGTCTGGCTTATAAACAATAAGGGAAATCCAAAACATAAATCAACACCAAATATGTCACTGGCCACCCAGGAAGAAGGCTGTTAGAGATAACTGAGTCGCTTCCCTAAAGACATGGTCTTATGTTGCCCTCATAACCCCACAGGTAAGAGCAGCAGGTATTGTAAAATCTGCCAGGCTTCACAGCTTGAGACGATGGCATGAGGGGATCAGCACTTACAAGGTTGGACACTTACATAATTAATCAGCCCTTGGGTTCCCTCCGGCTCTTGGGAGGGACTCACGTGCCGGCCCGAGACCGGAAGTAGTTCCCCAAGAAATCCGTGGCCGTTGGCGAATCCGGGAAGGAGTTCTAGCGCGGAAGGTGGGGCGAGCGGTCACCGAGTTTTACGGAAGTACGCGAGGGCGCTGCAGGATCCGGAATGGGGAAATGGAGGGGGGCGTGTCCTAAAGCCCCTGAACCCCTCTGATTGGCCGTCAGGAGGACGAGGCCTTCACAATCCGCGCTAAGGCTGTGAGAGCTTGCGTGGTCCTGACGCTATCAGGGAGGGAAGAAGGGGCGGGTCTGGGTGCTCAAGGGGTCAACCGATTGGCTGGGAGGCCCTGGAGTTGGTCCTCCCGCCCGGCTTGAGGGCGGTGCCGCGGCCTTGGCCCGGTGTTTGCGACCGGCTTCGGAGAGACGATCATGGCAGCTCGAGCCGGTCAGAAGGCCTTTACAAGGGTAGTCTCGGAGTGCCGTCCGAGGTTGGGGACGTCAGCCGCAGTCCCAGCGCAAGGGTCAGCGCGGAATAGTAGGTAATAAACAATGGGGGCGCGGGGACGAGAGCAGTTTTACTCCTGGACCTGCTGAGTGGCGAGACAGGGAAATTTGGGGGTGAGGAGGAGCCGAACCCGGCGCGTTTCCCTTGTCTCTGGAGAAGTGTCGGCATTTGAGGGACTCTGGCGCAGCGCCCGAGGCTGGCCTGCTGTCTAGGTAGTTCAGTCTCTGGGTGATTGGCTACCCTCCCGGTAGGTGGTGAGGCATCAGCGCAACGACTGTGGACGCATCTGATAAAGCAGTTCAGCCACAGGTGTTTGGGGCTCTTCCGATCTCCTTCCCTATGACCTGTTGCTGTGGCGGTCGGAAAGTTTTTGTTTTGCCCCGGGCTCTCGGAGTCTAGCTCAGTGATAGAGGACTAGCATCGCAGGCGCGAGACCCTGGATGAGACCCTAGTGTCCCGGAAACACCCCAACTAGTAAGACAAAAAGCATTTGCGCGGAAGGGTTGCTCGCTGCTGGGGATTTGGGAGTTTGTGGCCTGGCGATGAGCTCCCCTTCTGTTCCTCCTGAGTGCCAGGTGTTCAGAGGCGCTTTTCCAGTTTGGGTGGAGTTTTTTTGCCCCCACTATTTGGTATTTATAAAAACTAAATGTAGCCAACGAAGGACCTGTTTTATTTTTTGTTTCCTTCCCCATTCCGCTGTAACTTAGAGGTCTTGTAACCTTGAATCAGAGTCTGTCTTCGATTTTCCTGGTTGGTTCCTTTATGGAGAGGTTGGAGTGGAGATGGAGGTGGAGAAATGAAGGATACCATATTTTTTAATAGTTTCCTTTTAAAAAAAAATTCTTTTTTAGTTGTAGTTGGACACAATACTTTTATTTTATTTATTTATTTTTATGTGGTGCTAAGCTAGCACTCTACCGCTGAGACACAACCCCAGCCCCTACTAGTTTCCTTTTTACTAATAACATTGTGTATAATTTTTCTCGAAATTGGTGTTTAAAAAATGTAAACAGTATGAGGAAAATTAGTGTTTAAAATATGTATACAGTGAGAGAGCACAAATCTGGCCTAGCCCCAGGCCATTTAGATTCAAAGAAGAATCTAAAGAAGTAACAGCGGCACACTTCCAAATCCTTTTAAACAAATTGGATAAACAAGTAAAATCAGATATTATTTACTCCTGCTTTAGGAAATAATCTCAAAAAGTATTTCTAAACAGAATAACAATATTTTAGATCTGTTTGTGTTACTCTTAAAAATATTGGTTTGCAAATAAAAGTGTTACATTAACATAGATTTTGGCCTTTATAATAGAGTATTTGAGAGAGTAGTATTCAAAGAAGGCACGTGGTGCGTGCCAGGGCACTGAACCATAGCATGAACACTGACCAGGAAATCTATATTAGTTTGCTTTAAACCCAAAAAATTTGGGGTGCTGGGGAACCATATATGAATTGATACAAAACTGTATGCAGTGGAAAGAAAGCTTTCCAGTCAACCAGACACTTATTCAATTTATCTCTTTAGAAGTGAAGGTCTTTCTTTTTTCTTCTTTATCCTTTTTCTTTTCTTTGTGGGGAGGTGAATCTCCTAAGGCCTGGCACCAGCTAGGCAAGCACTCTACCACTGAGCTACATCTGCAGGTCTATTTTTTTTTTTTTTTTTAAAGATGGATACAATATCTTTATTTATTTTATATTTTTATATGGTGTTGAGGATCAAACCCAGTGCCTCACATGTGCAAGGCAAGTGCTCTATCACTGAGCTATAATCCCAGCTTCAGGTCTACTATATTTTTAAAAATAAACTTTTCTCAGACAACCTACTTTTTCTGATACTGATTTATCAGAAAATTGTTAATTTTAACAGTATCTGCCACATAATTAGCCTCCAATAATAAATAACATGGTATCTATGGAGTGGGAAAAGTAGATGAAACTGTTATAACTGGTAGATTTTGTATGTTAAATTTAGCTTTTATAATCAATATAGCTAACAGATCCAGAAATAATTTTTTGTGTGTATGACTTATTTTGGGGGGGGTGCCAGGGATTGATTTCAGGGGCACTCAACCACTGAGCCACCTCCCCAGCCCTATTTTGTATTTTATTTAGAGACAGGGTCTCACTGAGTTGCTTAGCATCTTGCTGTTGCTGAGGCTGGCTTTGAACTCAAGATCCTCCTGCCTCAGCTTCCCAAGCCTCTGGAGTTATAGGTATGCACCACCATTACATTAAAAAAAATTTTTTTTTTCTTTTAGTTGTAAATGGACACAGTACCTTTATTTTATTTATTTGTTTTTATGTGGTGCTAAGGATTGAACCCAGTGCCTCACACATGCTATGCAAGTGCTCTACCACTGAACTACAACCCCAGCCCTTTTCCATTACGTTTTAACAAATAGTCATGCAGCATTTAGCTTGACCTTTTTTATTGACCTCTATTACATGTAGAATAAGTGAAAGGAAAGCAAAGAACCATGAGACTGGTGAGCGAGAAATGAAAGAGACCAGGCAGAGATACACATGAGAGTTTATTTGTCAGAGCTGACAAATAAAGGCCATCTCTCCATAGATGGAGAGAGGCAAAACAGACTTGGGGATCAAGGCTTTTATGGGGCAGGCTCAGAGATTAGAGCCTGGTGGGTCCTGATGCAGGCGGTTAAGGGTGGGGTTGATATGAGAGAGTGGTGAGCCTTTCTCAGAAATGCTCTTGGATATGAAAGTGAAATTTTTCTTAAAATGGTGACTGTCACTTAAGATGGCCATCCATATGCTAAGCAAGAACCTTACATTAAGCCCATTCAAATTGTGTGTGTGTGTGGTGCTAGGAATTGAATCCAAGTTCTGTGTGTGTGAGACAAACATGCTAACACTGAGCTAAATTCCCAGCCCCCTTTCAGTTTTTATAATCAACTAATTGTTTAATTTTTTTTTTTTTTTTTTTTTTTTTTTTTGGTATTATAGAGCCCAAATTTGGTCTCCTTTTATTAGTTGGGCTGTTTTTTTTGCATTTTGAAGCCATATTCTCAGGTATCCTTTAACTTCTGGCTGAATATTCCCAATTTCTTCAACTGTTCCTAATTCTTTATATCTTTCAGATTTTCTCCTCCACCTCAGCTAAATTGTAGGGTCTCAGTGTCCTTCAAGAAATTTTATTTATGTATCAATTATACTTTGCATATATCAAATATTATATATAATAACATGAGATTTCACAAGGCCACTGTTTTAGCCAGCTTTGTGATGCCATGATCAAACACCTGACCAGGGACAACTTAGAGGAGGAAAAGTTTATTTTGCCTCATGGTTCATTCAGTGGTCAATGGAGGATACTGCTTGGGGCCAAAATGAAGTAGAGCATCATGGCCAAAGGGATCTTTGAAGGAAAGCTGCTTGCTCATAGCAAGGTCAGGAAGCAGAGAGAGGGAAGTTGGAAAGGACAGCAGGGAAGATGAGCCCCTTCCAGGGCACACACCCCAGTGATCCACCTCCTCCAGTCATGTATACAAGCCCATAGTTACCACCTAGTCAGTCCATTCAAACTAGAATGAGCTGATAAGGTTACAGCTCTCATAATCTAGTTGACTATTTCTGCATTAACACAGGAGCTTTGGGGGGGGGGTATCATATCCAAACCATAATATTCCACTCTGGCCCCCAAAAGATCATGTTCATTTCACAATAAAAAATGCTTTTAATTCATCTCCAAGAGCCTATAGTCTTAACAGTTTTAGTATTACCCAAAAGCTCAAGTCCTAAGTCTCCTGTGAGACACAAGGCACTCTTGGCTATGAACCCCTGTAAATATCAAAAGCAGGTTACATAAATTCAATATACAGTGGCACCAGGTAAACATTCCCATTCTGAAAGGAAGAGATAAAAGACAGATAAAAGGAATGGTGGTGGGCATGCCATCCCAGTGATTTCGAGAGGGTAAGGCAAGTGGAGGATCAAAAGTTCAAAGCCAGCCTCAGCAAACTTAGGCCCTAAGCAATTTAGCAAGGGCCTATGTCAAAATAAAAAGGGCTGGGGATATAGCTCAGTGGTTAAGTACCCTGTACCAAAAGAAAGAAAGAAGGAATGGGGCCAAAACAAGACCTAATCCCAGCCGGGCAAACAGTTTTTATAGTTCTACCTTGAGTATCTGGGGCACATGGTGACAAGAGGTGGTTTCCCAAGGGTTTGGGTGGCCTCGCCCCTTTGGCCTTGCTGGTTGCAGCACACAAGTGCTGTCTTTCAGCTTGGCGCCAGCAGCTCTTCTTGGCAGACAGTCCACATTATTGGCGTTTCTAAATTTCTGGGGTCTCCATTCCAGTTTTGGCTTCACTTTCACAGCTTTACACATTGCTGCCTTCGGGACAGCCTGTAGGGATTCTGTGTGTGTGTGTGTGTGTGTGTGTATGTGTATTGGTGCTGGATGTTGAACCCAGGGCCTTGTGCATGCAAGGCAAGCACTCTACCAACTGAGCTATATCCCCAGCCTTGGGATTCTGACTCTACTGAAACCAGAGTTTTGAGATGAAACTAGATTCCCTGCTTCTGCTGGCAGATGAGGTTTGTGCAGTCTGTAGGCCTTACCAATTTCCTTCAGTATTCTTACCTGGCAAATTTAAAGAGTAAAATCCATTGTCAATAATGAAGAGTGAACAGAGTGGGATTTATTTAAGTGAGAAGAGATAATCTGATAGCATTACTAGAAACTGAGGTAGTATGAAGGATCCCACCCCCTCCAAGTCAGAAAGATTTCAGATATATTGCTTAGAATAACAGGCTTGAGTTTATCGAAGGGACTGGAAAAGGGAAAGGGGACACTCTGAAGGGAGTGAGGGACAGTGTGCTTCTCCTACACTTTCCAGTTTTATTGGGGGTCCCAGAGAAGTTTCCAGAGGTTCTCACCCAGGTCCACCTCCTGACTTTTGACTGACAGCAGAATGATTTGAGACTTTTAAGTTCCTATTGCTACAATAACTCTAGGTCACTGGTCCATGCTGACTGGTTTTAATTGGATCTTTAGCCATACATTCTTACATTC